ATCCTCTGGACATTTTGGATAACATCCTGCATAAATAAATAAATATAGTTACACACATATCATCAGTTCTTAACTGGTGAGTCGTGATCACAAATGGTTTTGTGAATTACTGGCAAGAGAGATTACTATTAGTTGAATTATTATACAAGTTCTATTATTTTAATTATATTTAGTTGAATAATTTTACTTAAAGGGTTAGTTCACCCAAAGATGAAAATTATCCTGTGATTTACTCACCCTCGAGCTATCCTAGGTGTATATGACTTTTTTCTTTCAGACGAATCCAATCGGAGTTTTATTAAAAATTGCCCTGGCTCCTCTGGACTGTTGAACAGAAACACTCGCCCACTGCAATGATAACGCTTGGAAGAGCCAGGACAATTTTTAATATAACACCGATTGGATTCGTCTGAAAGAAGAAAGTCACAAACACCTAGGATTCTTTGAGGGTGAGTAAAACACAGACTAATTTTCATTTTTGGGTGAACTAACCCTTTAAAGGAGCGGCTCTTTGATTGCATATGCAAATTTAAATTTTTGGGTGAACTAACCCATTAATGACATACTTTATTGTTCATAACAAAATTAAATTGCATTAGATCACTTTATTAGAAATTTGAAGGTTTATGAACATTTCTAAGCAGTCCTGTAATTAATAGGGATGTCCTGAGCCTCTCTCATGGATCAGTATCGTGGCCAATCAAGATTGCTTCGCTGTGCCTTGTTTACAATATTCCCTAGATACTGTTTGCAATAAATTCTACGTATTTTGTCCCTCAAAGACTCAAAAAGCACCTGATGGAGTTTCAACACCACATCAAGCTTCTTCCGATTCATAAAGATGCCAGTAAAGATGTGCCACCTTGGCCAGAGTCGGCTTGAAGTTGTGCATCTTTGGAAGCAGAGGTTACAAAAAATGCCGTGCACAATGCCACGCAAAATGGGGTCTAGCACACTCAACATGCACGACCTCCCACACCACGATGACATAATTTTTGCCGCGTGCACCTTTGTGCTCACATGGATGTGTCACATATAAACCAGGCTTTATGCAAGAATAAATGCTTAACTTACAAATATTGTCTTTCCCTATAGATTGTGGGGTCATTTTGGAATTAGAAAGTGCTTAAGAAAGAGAGGTATAAGAGATAAAGATCAATATTGGTATAATTACAACAAAACAAATATGTCTTCTATTACTTTCCACCAAAAATGCTGTTCATTAATGGTTTTCGTTCCTTGAACCATTTCTAATCCCAGTTTATCACTAAATAAAAGGTCCAGAAATATCCAGTGTACATAATCGGTCTTGAAAAATGCAAACTAGCGTGCACCAGATGTCAACTCACCTTCCAGAAGGGGTAAACTGTTATTACTGTGAGTACCATTAAGGTTGAGACAGGTTTTGTAGAAAGGTGTATGACAAGGATTGTAATGCCATATGCACTCTTCTGTTCCATTATTGTAGAAGTCACAGTACACAGCTGACAGAGAAACATGGACAGAAGTATGAATGTGTACAGTTGAACTAAATGAAATGCAATAAAACTGCAGTACATTGTTAAAAGAAAGAAATCACTTCAAGCAATGATCAGGCAATCAATTTATTCACATTATCTTTTTTGTGAAAACACAGTAGCTGAAAATTCAGAATCTGCAATAATCACATTAAAAGATTACAGATTAAGATGTGCACTAGAGTTAAAGATGCTTACGGCAGATCTCAGGTGTTCTCCAGTTCACACAAACATCTGCCTCATTGCAGGCTTGAGCATAAGCTGCCACAGCTGTACAGAAGCACTCACAATCTCCACCTGTGTCACATGCA